AGATTTGTAGCGGGTTGTTTCACTAGCGAGCTTTGACTATGCTCGAAATATCTATGACATAATTTCCATGCGGCTACTCCATAAAGCGATACTTAGATACGGTTAAATTCACATGCCTTACATTTGCTCGTATAGCACCATCACCTCTACTTCATTATTGCATGAGGCTAGAAAGTTTTTGTCTTGATAGTATCTTGGTTCACAGTGTTCAAGATGTATCTGCTTCTACTCCAAGTGGCTGTGGTTTACGCATTCTTCACCGTAAAGTGCACACTAGAACATTATCAAATAAACAGCGATTAATGCTCATTCAAATTTTGCTAACTATATGTGATCATTGGCACGATAATTTCAATAAATGTTTCACTTGCGGTACGTCTTCGCGCTAGTTGAAAGTTGGAAGCCTCTCCAACTCTGAGAACTTGCTCGTTAGTGTGGCAATCAGCCACAGATTATAAGTCCAATAAACGCTTTTCCTGTGGTGCGTCATCTTCCTCTTTATCATTAAGGTTATTTAAGGAATTTCAGCAACCTTTCCATACTAGGACATTTTGCTAAAAAACTATTGGAGGTAGTTCAGGGTTATTTGTGTAGCCATTAAATGCAGACAGATTTGTTGTTACCTCATTTTCCTTATTGAATTAATGTGACTATAGTTAGTTAATGCCTTTTTAATTGTAATTATGCATTTCTTTACTTTTATTCCCTATTTCTAGCACAGTACGGTTTATCTTTTTTCATTAAAATAACATTTTTTGTCTAGATGTTTGTTCACAAGGATACATGGACCTTAGTCGAACATGTAATTACCGGATTTCAATCTTTGCCTCTGTCCAACGGTCAAGTTGTAATTCACGGGCATGATTTTTATAATCATGTTATTTATCTAACGAACCACCCTACTCTGTACGGGGGCAATTATTCTCAATTAAGGAATGATTTTGTAGCGGTGCTAAAAGCATTCGATGAGTGTAAAATCCGTCCTGTGTTCGTATTTGGTGGTGTTGCGATTTCCCCGGTTTGTCAAGAGTTTACTTTCCATAACTAAATATTGAAATTTCAAAATTGCAATTAACAATTTCCATATTCTTTTATCAGCAATCCAAACGGAACCTAGCCATAGACAGACTACAAAGGCGAGTCAATAGTCTGCAGCAAGACCCAAGCCCTAATTCTGATAATGGTTCTTTCCTCACACCTGTTTTGACAAAGGAAATTTTGCTTGATGTTTTGAGAGAAAAAGGTGTTCCACACGTAACTTGTGACTCCGATATTGTCCCCGCTTGTGTGGCCTTGGCGGCCCATCTCCGTTGTCCTTTATTGGCGAACTGTTGTGAGTTGCTTTTCTTCGAGTTTGAAGACCCTGGTGATAGTTGGGATCGTTTTGTATACATTCCCTTGCGCTATTTATCCTTTAAACCTATTCCACGTTCTACCAGTTCCGATTGTATGAGTCTCTCTGCTCATGTATTTTCCCCGTCGAAATGCAGTCTTCACCAAATTCCACACATTTTGCGTCCATTCTTTGCTATCTATTTCAAGCCTCCCACTGCTTCACATTTTCCCATTCCCCATCGAGTTTACAGCGCTCTTAAACATAACAATCCCTATCCTTCTCGTCCAATGATTCACCGTGCCATGCAACTAATTTCTTGGTTACGGTCGGCCAATTCCCCTCTTGAAGTCCTAGAAGAATCTTTAAGTTCATGTGAAGGCAAGGTCGTTATTTCATTTATTGAAGACCTCGTTTCCATCACTTCATTTCTTAAAATCGACTTGGACCAAGGTAAAGAGTTGTCAAAATTTCTGTTTCCTGATTCCCCCTCTCTTCCTGCTACGCCCTATCTAGTTGAATCGGTGGATTTGGTAACTCATTTACTTCGACAGCCCTGTCCAGATCAATTTAGAAAAATCGTCACTTTGATTGAATCCGAGAGCAGTTTAATTGGAAGTAAAGGTTTGGATTTGCTAACCAAACTCCCACCATATTTCTTGAAATTATATCGTGATGGTTATATTTCAACAGTTATTTTTGGTCGACTTCTTTCGAGTCAGATAACTACACCTATCTTTGAAGAAAATTTAAGTCGTAATGCTGCCTCTGATTCGTCTATGTGTGTCCGTTTCCTACAGTACTGTTTGGCATTGGATTTCATTAAGGATATTGGCTTTCAAATAGAGCATTTTGAAGGCTCTGATGAACCGCATATTTCCGAATTTTCTCGCTCAACAGATGTTTCTAATTTTATTATAACTAAAATGAAATTGAGATCCTTGTCTGCTCTACCTGCAAATCTGGATGACTTGCCTCAAATTTGTGCTTTTTTCATTCAAAAAAACATCGGCTGTCAGGTTAAGTCGGTGAATAATTGGATTGATATATTGGCGCTTACCCTAACAGTTTGGCATAAGGCATCACACAAGGAAAGTAGTTTGGACATTTTGGAGCAGCCTACTGCTCTTGCAATTGCTTTGATTGCCTCCGTATTGATGGCGTCGAATGGTGTTCTGACATCTCAACATCTTGACCAAATAGCTGATGGAATGCCTCACGAACGCAATGTGAATATTTTACACGAAATCAGTGAACTCCAGCTTCTCTACATCTCTTTTTTCACCCTGATGCGATTTTTTAGTGCTGTGGTCATATGTAAAAGCACTTCATACATGAATATGGCAATGCTCAAACTCCCTCAAGGTGATTGCTTCTTCTCCAACTCTCGTTTGATTCACAACCTTGCTGCTGCTCTTGCTGAATCACCAGAGAGAAAGTCCCTCAATGTTTGGATCAAAAAGATTCTTTCTCCTGTTGAAAACAGTGCTATTATCAAAAATGCTACTATGAATTTGATGATGCTCACTAGAACAGTCTGTGAAATGCGATCCATCCGACCAATGGAATTTGATCCGCAAAGTGAAATCTTTCCATTCCCTGTGATAGATAATCAACAAGAAAAAAATAGAGCACCCTCCGTTATTAACAGACAAATTCCAAGAAATGGATCGAGTATGCGTGGAAAAAAAGTTCCGGATGAGGGTAACTTCAGTAGTGATAACGGCAGGCCCAATAACCTTAACTCACGCAATCGCGGACCCTCAAAACCCAGTTATGATGGAAATAGAAATAGAAAATCGTTTCCTATGCAAATGAGAACTGTATCTAATCCATTAAATCCCTTTGCTTCTAATGGCAACGAAGCGTCAAGGAATCCGTTTGTGAATAAAGACATTGCATATCCACAACGGAATTCCATGTTTGCCTGTTCAAATAGTCTTCAAGCAGATAAAATAACTAGTGGAGTTCATGAAAACGGAGATAAAGATTCTGTTAATGGACTTTCTTTTAATTCGAAAAATCCATTTTTACCTGATTTAACCAAGAAGGGCAAGTGTGCAGCATCTGAAATTGGTGAAAAGCCCAAAAATGTGCTTGATTTTGATGCCAGAAATTCGGTAAAATCATCCACCTCTGAATTTGGCTACAGACCTCACTCTGGGCCTGCGCGACAGGCGTACTCAAGACCAGGATCTGCCGTATTTAATCAGACCCCTTTCTATTCAGAAAATAGAATTTATCGAGAAGACTTATGTCCCAGAAACTTTAATAATAAAACTGTACATCCAGGTAGAGATACGATGGATCCACGAAAAGCATTTCAGAGTAAATCAGGAGAAACCACCTTCAGAAAGCCATTCTCTGTTCGACAACAAAGTGTCTTTCAGCCCAAACCTTCCTTTAATAATTTCCCGAAGCGGGGTAATTCTAATGCCAATGGAGGAAGTCGTGGAAAACAATCATTCAAACCTATGGGTAGAGTATCTCGTGTCCACAAGAATGGACCCCAGGAGAATGATCAGTCGAAATGGAAGACGGAAGATTTAGCTGTTGAAATAGAAAAACTGGCTTTGGAATTTAAATGATACGTACCCCCAGCCACTCCCTTCTTCATTTTAATTCTGTAGAATCAATGCGACCTTTAGTTTAAAAAACCGCTTAGCCAAAACTTTGTTTGTTGGATTATTGGAACAGTTAGTTTTGTTTTGTAATCGACTTTTCCCTCTCTTTTATTGAGGTATCTTTTTATTTCTTGGGTACGAAGCGGTGCTGCTGTCAGCTTGTACGTCCATGTGGCCTTAAAGCAGTCATTCGAACTGATTAGTATTAATCTGTAGACTGATGGTGACGTAGGGACATCTTCTCTCTGAGTGTTATTGTGAATGGTCCTGAAAACACGGGTTAAGAATATAATTTCTTTGAATAAAAATGGTTTATTGATTATTACAGGTAAAATAGCAAGGAGACGATCCCTCACACTAGGTTCTTATTAGTGGTGTAGGTTTGGGTGTATTGGAATGGGAAGGTGATTTGTGAAATCGTACTTCGATTGTATCGGCGATAGAACTCTAAGGGAAGAAATAGAGTAAAATGAGAATTTGTATTTGAGCTAGGGTATTTCGGCGTAATCATCCTTCTAACCTGGAGAACACGACCTTTAGTTTCGATTGGTAGGAAAAAGGCAATAATTGCGCACAGAAGGCAAACACTACTGTAGAGCGAAAGGCCGAGGAGCGTAGATACGTCCGACATAATGACTTCAGCGACGTAGGGGGTAGACATAGCTCCCAGTCGGGCAAATGAATTGCAGACTCCCTGTCCTAGTGACCTTATTGTAGTTGGGTAAACCTAGAAATAATTTGGAAGCGATGTTACAGGATACAGCATACTGACAATTCTACTATTTCTTAGAATATTTGATTGTTAAAGGCATCTTTATAGAAGCTGGACAGATGTAAGTGACTTTACAGCCAGTGCTTATTAAATACACTACCAGAATTTCAAGTTAGGGAATGCTCCCTTGACTTTATGTTGTTGAGATGGGATATTGTGCCTGATGATGAAAAAGTGAGGTTGTCTGTCCACTTGCTATCATTACCAATGACAAGTTATAAAACCGTTGTTATTCTTAAGAAAGCATCTGGATAGGAAAGGCAGTAAAATAACTTAGGAAGGAGATGGGTAAAATCACGGAACCCATATATTGACTTATTTTGATTACAGTTATCATTGTATGGCCACTTTCCCATGAAGTGGGAATGTTTACAACTTTCTGTGTTGCAAAAGTATTTCATGGCCTGCCCTCTTGATTCTGCGACGATTTCAAACCCAATTAACTTACAGAATAAGTCAACTGACACTTATCACCATAACATCAATAAATTCTTCCAAGTATTGAATAAGCACAGTCCTGTCAAATCGTCACCTATATGCCCTTGACAAGGTCAACCGAAACCACATTATTCTCTTCTGCTTTGTCTGAGATGAAGAAGTTGGTACACATTTAACCGCAGTTCTTTGAGATTCCTATCATAATGTAAGAACCTATTCCCCAGAAGTCCATCAGTTTTGGCTGTTAAGGTATGTGTCGGTTTCTTGTTAGATATGCATACCGTTATTACCTCAATGACCTCCAATATTTGCGTGATAATAATATAGTGGAGACAAGATTAAAGGAGGTTCCATTCCCTGTATTCTACTTAAAGCTCGGGGTCAAGTAATACCGGCTACAATATCCTTTTAATAAGACATTGCTCAGTTTTGTGCCGTTACGTATTGATAGTGTCTATGACTACAGTCGTCCAGAATGCCGTTTTCAATCAAAGAGTGTTTATTGTTAAAACTTGTTTGAGGTGTCAATCACATTCATAACATTAAATGAAATCCTCACCACAGAGTCTTCTACGCAGTTGTTCCTATTAAACACTTTGCAAAACGAATATAATTACCCAAATTTAGAGCTACAATTTCAGTCGTCAACGCTGGACGCAAGAGTGCATATTCGATTTGCTCACCGAATAAAAGCAAAAAATTCACAAAAATCAATTTGACGCCCATTCGTACAACTGAATATAGAGCGAAGGTCATGATAAAGCATGCCAAAGCAGTTACATATGAGAGAATACAAAGTTAAGGATGTACCAAACATTGCGACCTTCTGTCCAAGCAAAATAGCAAGTAAGAGTTGGAAAATAATCTTCTCAACAAAATTGCGAAAATCACGCCAAATGAATTCGAGAAAGTCTCAAAATATGCTGGCACGTACTGAGTTATGTATTGGTGCTCATTGTGAGCACTTTGACATTTGCTACGAGCGATTGAATGTTCAGCAAGTTGTTACTTTTGATATCTTATATTTAAAAATTTTAAATAAAAAAACATGATATTAATTTATCTTTCTGTATTCACGTGGGACTTCTGTAATCTTGGCCAAACGAACTCTTTTACCTATATTAGGTAAAAGAATTGCTTCGTGAAACCTCTCTTGTTAGAAATTCCAATTCTACAGTCCCCTTGGTCTATAGGCTTACTCGTTACTCTTTGTATTGTTCTCACACTGATTTATAACCTTACCCCAACTGTCAATAAACAACGAACGGGAAATAAGCCAACTTTCTTATCGTACCTCACAATACGGTTTGCCTTTCTTCCAACTCGTCCTCCCTCTCGTGTAAAATGCACATTCCTCCAACCCAACCCTTGGCCCTGTACACTTGTTAAAAAGTGCGCTTTTGTATTCTAGTAGCTTTAGGAGAATAGCCAGTTTGCCTGAAGGAATAACTAGTATATCTTACTTTTAGTTCTCCCCTACGTGCAACCCAGCACATAGATTGAAATTAGCTTGATGGCCAGATGAATAAACGCCTGGCAAATACATTTATCATTCAAACGTCACAACGCAGAGCCCAAACCAACGAATTGTGAAAAGGGCAGCACACATAAAGTACCTCTGTATGAACTGGAATGCTTTGACAATATTTGGTACATTACGCTATTTTCTCTATAACATTGCATTACCACGAATTATGAGTACGTCCATTATTTGCAGTTATAGAGCACTAGACTACAAAGTACGGTTTGCATTAATCTGAAATACTAATTTGGCATTTCTTATAAACCATGTATTATGCTATCTCTCTTTTAAACTTTTGCCAATTCTGCATGCTATTAAATCAAGAACAATTGGACTTGCTTCATTAGTATATAGATACACAATTGAGAACATCCCAGAAGCAAACGCTCTTATGGCGAAGAGGACGCCAATAGCAACAGCCTTGGGCATGCAAACATCGAGAATCACAAAGAGCAGAGCGGATAGGACTGCGATCAACCCCATGGATGTTCGTCTTCCGAGACATTCATTAGTAATTATAATCAGTGGGATAACTGAAATGAATAAAAATTGAAGATAAAATTCGTTAGATTTTGAAACAAACAGTTTGCGAATTAAATGAGTAGGAAGAAAACAAAGAAAGAGGAAGCGAATAGCGATTACCTCGAGTGAAGTGCTTCTGAAATAATGACATTGTATTATCACCTCTCTCTCTCTCTCTTTATTAACGGGATTAACTAAATTCAGTTGACTATTCCCACCGATGAACACTGGACCCTTCAAATCGGTCTTGTAGACGAGTATGCACAGTGATAAAAAGCCATACTCATCAGTTAATATTTACTCTGCCACAGACGCACTTAACTGATTTCATCACATTACCTGATTATTTCATGGCCCTGTCAAATTTAATAATAATAGCAACAAAATTGCTTATTAATCAAAGGATTTAAGGCTAGCGTACTCTTATCGAATCAGTTGCCATTACTACTGTTATTATTATTATTATTGTTAATAAAAATTCGGCATACTATCAGTTAGTTAATTTAAAGAATTGTGAATAGACGAAGGCTCTGAGATGTCATGAACAAGGGTTCAATTTGCCATCGGTATTTACCAGTTTGAACAGTGTGATAGTGAATTTAATCAGAAACGTAGAAATCACCCTTGAATTTTGAGTTTGATACATTAGAGCATGATGATTAAGGGATAAGAGAAGAAACTGCTCGCTGGGTATTGGTAACAACAAACAGAGATGGAAAACACTAATGCTAACACATTTGACCTGGCTGTCAATTTCAACTTATTAGATAAACAAACCAGACACATATGATTACCTACCATTCACCATTGATCAGCTGACTGTTAAATAACGCCTTTGCGTATTTCGTATTCTTGGAATTTACTTCCTTTCCTATACAGCATCCACATTAATGCCACTTTTTCCTCCGACTTCTTCCTTTACATTTTCAAAAAGCGGAACAATTAATTAGGATAATGCACGGGCAGAGAACATAATCGCCTTAATGCACCTAAAAACTGGTAGGGGGTTGAAGGATTCTTAAAATAATGCATTAAACCTTTTCTAAGCAATACTGGATTAATTTTTTAAATTAAATATTCTGTTTGTGCTTTTTCTTTTGGCTGAAGTGTCTTCAATTGGTACAGTTGAGAAAATATTTACTACCGACTTGTAAACATTCCCTTCTCGATAACTCGGTTTTTTTTCAGTAAAGTCAAACGAATCGTCACTTACAAGACTCCCTCGATTATCACGCACCAACTCGTTCCCTACCTCATTCATCTTTATTTAGCCACTTTTCTCGTACCTTTTAATCGTTGCTGTTTCTGATAGATTCTGATTTGGTTGTCAACCCCTAACCGACAGCTCCTAAAAAAGTAATCTCATACGCACTCAGACATGCTTTAAGGTACAACTTCGCGTATGGAGTAATTGCGGCTATGAGCGCGGAAAACAGAGCCAACCGCTAATCAATAGTCATGTTTGGTTTAGCAAACCCGCATATTAATATAAGGAGTAAGCCCTTGTTTGTGATACACACCTACACACACAGTCTAGACAAACGTGTTCTACACCATACGTCTGCTTTCCATAAAAATCTTTGAGGTAGCTTAGCTAAATCTGGGAGCCTTTCAAAAAGAAATGAGAATCTGTCATAGAGATTACTGAGCATAGTCAAGGCTTATTAGCGTAGCAATCCGTTGCACTTGCTACATTCAGGAAGCCATAAAACGGGAAGCAGAACTAAAAATCAAATGAATATGAAAGTTTAGAACATACTGTAACCAGTTTTTTCTTCAGCTTTCGAAGAAGCCATGATTTAAATACTCTGCAGCTTCACATAATTAGGGATGAACACAAATCAGCTCTTTACTTCATAAATCATCGGACGGAAAGCGGAACAGATTATTTCCTGTTCTGTATGAATCGTCTGATCAATCATAGTCATATATTAATGAAAGATAAGATAGCTTGTAAAGGTAAAATGCTGTGTTTTAATCCATTCATTCCTTTGAATTTCCCGAATGAGTCTTGAAAATAAGTGTTTTTTCAATATTAGCACTTGCGTGATTATAAGAATTGTCCACTCATACTGCTTATTTTATGACTTAAAGGCGGGTAAAATAGACTTTGAAACTCCATTATAACCTTCATTCAGATGAAATGAACAGACTCTAATAATTAATTGAAGAAAAATTGAAATTATGTCTCCTTTTCCCTTAATTAAAATCAAAACCACCAGCAAAGGTGACAAGCTTGTGGGACACGTCATCGCCTAACGTGTGATCGCATGGGCGCCAAACCAATGGTCAATCAGATTCTTTCGTCTGTTTAAGCGGAGCGGTCATGATGATTGTGACTAACCTTATGGCGTGTACACTTTATCCACATTATGCTTCCTGTATAAACGTGTTTCGTGTGATACATCTGTTAGTTCTAGTTCTGTTAGCTAGCTCTGGAAGTCTAGCTAGATGTAGAAGAAACTGCCACAAAGATTTCTGAGGCAGTCAAGGCTTTTCTAGTGTAGTAATCCGCTACAGGATATTTGATCACCAATTCTCGTGTTTCAACTGCATATGAATCATAGTTAAAACATAAAAGAGTGCAGTCCAGCCCTGAGAACTTGATAAATGATAAAGAAAGGTATCCTGAGTTTAGCAGCTCAAAATTATCGTCCATGGTCAATGGCTGTGCAAGAATGCACATATGATTATCAACAAATACAGTGAATTTGAGTGTAACTAGCATATTAACCAAACAAACTTTTACCAATTAAGTGATACCTTGAAACGCAAATAATCGCAAATTTAATTGACAACATACCTGCAAATTCTCCCAATGAAGATACCAGCATGGAGAGATAATCGTCATTGTTAATGGCCGCACAGCAGGATTGGCCCACTACAACAGTTTTGTTTAACGAAAAACCATTGTAATCGGAGTGTTGAACTAATTCTGTCAAAAACATTGAAAAAAGTGGTTCAGAAACGCACGGGGCCTAATGAACGCAAAAAATGGCCAATTATGTCAAAATTGCGACTGCCGCCCATTGTTTACTTCCTATTCCAGGAATTTACTCGTAGGATAGATTACAGTTATTTCGTTTTAAAGTATAACTGCTGTCATCGCAACCAATTTTCAAAAGCGAAGTTTTGATACAAATAGTAATTATTTTTATGAGTAGTATGAGATAATTCAATTTAGTTGCAGTACATTTCACATTGAGCGACCAGTTTATTAAGAAATTGTAAATTCATACTTGAGCTGAACTATCAATAATTTCCTTAATAAAGTAATGGCTGGTTTTAACGAATAAATGGTCACTATTGATTTTGATGGAATAGCATGGGCTAATTACCTTTATAGCAGGTCCCTTTCACATTGAATAGAGTGGAACTGATTAGAATGATACCATAATAGCTGAATGCCGTTCCAAACCACAGAAATGGCTGCATTACCGAGAGCATCCGATATCCAGGAGCCCATAGGTGTGAAAGTTTTCCCAATTCAACTTCCTGAATGAGACAATTATATATATATATATATATATATATATATATGGATATTTTAATTTGTTATATATTATAAATTTAAATTGAATGCAATTCTCATTAAAATATCCTTCACATATGTTAAATTCAACAAATTTTTTTGAATACCTTTTAATACCCCTTCTAAAAGGTAGCTCAAATATTCAACAACCGGAGTGCACTTTATAAGGAGTCGGTTAAGTAAGCAGTAATTATATTTACAGAACTGGATGTTAGCGCACAGTTCAAAGTTCACAGAAGGTGAAAAACGTTGATGGGGCCAATAGTAATGAATAAATCTATTTTTATCGAAAATTAATAATAAGCATAGGGGTAACCCGAGGTGGTTAAAACCATGGCAACCGAGGATATAATATTATTTATTTATTTATACCAAATGGCAGGCGTTTTGATAGTTATCATTAGCCCTATAGTTGACTTCAGGCTTCACAGATGGGAAGGAACATCAAAGTGAAAAAGGTCGAGAGGGGGGGGGACAGAAGAGTGTTTCAAATGTGTAAAAGAGACAGACAGACACAAAGTTAGAAAAAAGGTGAGGTGAGTACGGTTGAAGTAGTCGAATTTGACATGCAGTGGGGTGATGGTAGTTTGGAGTCTGAAGTTAATTGCCAGTTAATAGACTTTTTGCCGTATGAGTATACGTTGCCCAGGGTGCACCACGTGGAGGTAAGTCTATCGCACACCAAAGGATATAATATTCAATCACGCGCTAGCCAATTACGTCAATCATACCGCTCGAGGATTCCACATGTTTATCCCACTGTTTCACTAAGAGACTTTAATTGATCAGCCTCTACCTCTTTACACAATGAGTCACAAAGGAAATAGCTTAGTAGAATATTCAAATCAGTAGAAGTTATCTAACAAATGGGGCTTTCAACCAATTATCAACTTTTCCGTTTGGTTCGACCGTTTCATATCTCATTCCTCATTCCTAACGCAATGAACCTTTTCTTAACTATAGTCATTATAGGCACAGGAACCACTTCAGAATTGAAATTTTTGTGATATCTATTTAACATTACTTCACTGTGGTGCTACCCAATATCCTCCTTGTTTTGTAGACTTTATTATCATTCCTGCAAATTGAGCACAAAATGCTCTCACGAACATGGGAGGATACAGGGTGTCACATGACAATTGCTTGGGGATTAATCCTACGTGTGCATCAAAATTTAAGTAGACAATCCTCCCTCTTATCAGGTTTGTTAATTAGGAGGTAAAATTTTAATATCACTTGTTGTTTATCAGCCTGAAGGACTTTATTCATTAAATAAGAGTTTGAATCAATAATATCATCGGATTATCCAATTGGGTAAAGTGCAGGATCACCTTTTATATATTGCCTGAAATAAATTAGCAAGTCAATCTTGGTGAATGTTACACAAAACATAACTTTCTAATGGTAATAAAATTCCCCAGGGAAAAATAAATTTTTGAATTTTATTCTTGGTAAATATACCACCGGATGGAAGGCAAATTTGCAGCCATCTTAAAGGCTAATACTAGTAAATTTACATTGAAGAAAAATTGAGAAATTCGGCTGAATTCCAAATTTCAAACAGTCTAAAATCCTTTGTCTGATATTAGGCGCATTGTAACCTATCTAATATAAGTACTAACTTCAAAAACCGATATTTTTAATTATTGACTTACCTCCATGTGGTGCACCCTGGACAACGTATACTCATACGGCAAAAAATCTATTAACCGGCAGTTGACTTCTCACTTCAAACTACCATCACCCCACTATATGTCATATTCGACTACTTCACAGTACTCACCTCACCTTTTTACCTTTGTGTCAGTCTCTTTTACATCTTTGAAACACTCTTCTGTTCCCCTCCCCCTCATCGATTTTTTTCACTTTTGTGTTCCTTCCCCTCTGTGAAGCCTGAAGTCAACTAAAGGGCTAATGATAACTATCAGAGCGCCTGACATTTGATATAAATATTTTTAATTATTCCCTACATCTTCCATCTCTTGTTTGGGAGATTTCTTCTCGATGAAAATTTTTTTGACTTAAACCTGCCGTTATATTTTGTTGTTAAATTTTCGAAATTCCTAGACTACCAATACGAATGATTACTAAGTAAAACTTGATTGCTAAAATCAGGTACATTTTATAAGTACTCTATAAATAAGCAGGTCAAGAATGAGAAACTAACCGTAGTTGCAGAGGTGGAATGAATGAGTTCACCTTCTAATGGGACACATTTATTCAACAAGGCCATTCTCTTAACCACTTCCCCCGCCTCTTTCTTCCTATTTGCCGTCATCAGGTAATGCACTGATTCTGGAAGAAACTGAAAAGTATGAAAAAAACCATTATTTCTGAACGCGTTGCATTGCTATTGAAAACGGTTACATTTTTAAACTGATTCAATTACTGGTCACTACGTTTCCAATTGCTAATTTTTTAATTTTGACACGATAATGCATCTACCTACTGTGTCATATATGTGCTGACTTAGTTTTAATTTTAGTAAATATTTTGAAAGTTGTCTTAACCTCAGTCCAAATACTGATTAAATTGAGTCGCATTATAAAATTATTTTCGTTATTCCTGTCAAAATTTTGTTCCTACTTTTGAAAGATGCTGACAAGCAAAAATAAATGCAGTTGATCATCTACTTTCAAAAATATATTTGTGGGCAGTTTAAGAAAAAAATCACTGTTATAATAAACTACCAAGTATCAACTGCACTGATGCTGCAGCATAAATCTACATTTTATCGCATACAACTCAGGAAATTGGAAGAACGCGATCTGAGCAAAACAAGAACTATGACGTGTACAAAGGTACTAAGGCCAACGAATGAAATTTAGTAGCCAATAGGTACACAGTGAGTTCATGTGGCTTTATGAAATGATGACATCCTGGTAGTTTGCCGATGGTCAGGTGTTGGGAAACAATTAATTAAACTTTACCAAATTCAGCTAATTTTTCTCGATAAATTAGCAGATGATTACTCCCGTAAAAATACGTGTAAAGCTTCCACACGAGTAAAGTAAAATTATTTAAACACTAAACTAAACAGGAATACCATAAAGATTTCGGTATTTACCTTCACTTAATAAATTAAAGTTATCTTAAAAGAATCCAGCGTCCAGTTGGATGACCAAGATGTGTTGCAACTGTCAGGTTTCAGTTTAGAAATTGCAATTTATAATTAGGTGAAATGAAACATTACTTTGTTGTACACTCATTTTAAAGCAAAATTTCCAAAGGTATATAAACGAAGGCGTTTACAGTTAGGTCACACTGAAAAAATTGGAAAGTTTACTATTATTTTGGGATAAGTGATTTCATATATTTCCTTGTTCACATTTTGGTCTAAAATTACAAACTGTAAGCTGAATATCTTCCAAAATCGCATTACAACCATTTAGTAGCAGTTTAAACCTTCGCTGTTACTGGGGTAAAAGAGGGAAAAAATACCGGGATTAGAAAACAGAAGACGACCAGAGGCATGGCTGAAAAAAAGACCAACCACCGCCAACCCAGTTTAGGGAGAACTACGAAGGCCAATCCGATCTCTAGGGTGCTTCCAATCGCCCAAAAGATCTGTGAAATTTGTGAAAAGTATATTATTAACGTTTTTAGTTAAATGTGGTTAAATATAAAAAACCTATTTGAGGAGGTTTTAACTTACAGAAATGCCAATCAATACCTTGGCGCGATACTTAATCGAGAGGAATTCTGACATCAGCGTATACCTAAAAAGCAAACCAAAAATATGGGGGAAAGTAACTATAATTCAAGTTGTGTGAGTAAGTTAAAATCAAGACCATATAAGAAAGAACGAGTGGAAACAGGAACACACAGGCGATGGAAGAATGAATCTCTAATTTGGCCTAATTTATGGCCTTCCATAAGATAAATATTTCATGTTTTGTAGTTTTAATCCGCTAAAAGCTCAATATTGCCTGAGCAAATTAGAGCATTAATACATTCGGTCATGAAACACTTTTAGCATATCATGAATATCCAACTCGGAAGGAAGATGGTAAGAATGAAGCCATACCCGAAATAATATTTCGAACACCATAGATCTAGTTTATTTTTTAATTTAAAAGAGTTTGATAAGATTATGTTTGTATTTCTGCTATAATCAGTAATGTTCCTGCTAACGTTTGTACTGTTGGATCGTCATGGTTTTCACTAATTTTGAATAGTGTGGAGTAATTCATATAGTTACATTTAAACAAAATTAGATTATAACTATGTTCTCACCTCTTTTGGGAACCATTATATGACTGAGATAGAGAAAAGAATCCTATACGCATATATTTTTGAGACCAGAATAACTTTCTAACTTAAGCAAAAAGGTAATTATAAGAAAAATCTACCTTTGTTTTTATAGAATGTGGTTATTTAAAAGTGAAAATCTAATCCGATTTTTTACCGCTTGAAATCTAACAAGTATTACAATTAAAATGGTTTAAAATACTTGGTTTCCTACAGGATGTTATTTGATTCATATGCAAATTGCAACAGTCATTGAAAACAATATAAAAGTCATTGCAAATTCAGAAAGTTAGAGTATAATAATTGAAATCAGTTGCCTTTGATAAGGAAAATTTTAATCACATATCTTAAGACATCGCGTCCAATCCGCTTATCACTTTCGTAAAATAACATTAAATATTTATAAATGGTGTGCTGCATTTTATCACGACTCTTATTGACTGTTATTGTCGAATACGGATGTCCACCACCATTACCAGATGCGATCCTACGACCATCCATTTCAAGCCTCAGAGAAAGAAGTTATGCATTTTGGCTACTGTGTCACCGGTGCATAAATGAGTTAATAAGAAGACATTTTACACAGATCTATCACTTACGCACTGCCCTCTCCAGCCATTCCAAATCCAACAAGTCCACGAAGAATTACCAACCAGATAAAATTTGGACTCAGTGAAGTAGCCAAACCGGCGTAAGACACCCAAAGAAGAACGACTAGAAAACACTAAAATGTGATATTGAAAAAAATAATGAAGTACTAGACTTATTCTAATTAAAAATGTACAGATTAAGGACAATCAGTAGAGTTTTATTTAAATAAAGATTCATCAAAAGATTTATATGCTAGCCAGTTTAAAAGATTACAAGTAGACGACAAAACAACCGATTTCCTTACCCCTAATTGAATAATATACATTGTTTGTCAAATGCAAGCGCAATGAAATCCAAAATTATAAAGTATTGAATGCTATTTATACTTTCGCCATTTTGCAGAAATCACTTACGTTGTTATTATTCAAAGACCTGGTTTACATTTTTGAACACTGCTAGTGTCTCGATATTTCTATCAAGACGGATTCCTTCCCTAGGTTTGGAGCGAAAGGCAGTTTAAGGAAAAGCCAACAGATTATAATTTATTTGCCGATCCAAAAATACTGCAACCGAAACAGTATTCTCAATATTAATTTTTTATAGTCCTTCATGTATTGCACATATCAAAAGAAAATGAGATTATTAAATTGTCGTACTTCACAAAATCCATCGAATAGCAGATAACTAAGGAAGAAGTTAATTTAATGCCTCATAAGTTAAAATTACAAAGACCAGTGATAGATAAAAAATTAGATCGAAAGGTGCGAATTTTAAACGAACATACCCGCTTTCTTCCAAATTTGTCGGAGAAAAGACCCCACACTGGAGCTCCAAAGAAGAAGCCAAGAAAGACAACCTGCCAAATGTTGAGAGTATAAAAAACGAGTCGGTTTGAAGATTATTTGGTTGATTTAGAAATGTTTGATTGAACGCAAATTTTTGTTTTTAATGTATACCATTGTTATAAGAGCCACTTGAGAGGAGTCTAAATGCCAAGCACAACGAAGTGTTGGTCCTAATACTGATAATAATAACATCTCCATAGCATTTGCGGCCTAAAATGATTAAAAATTGAAATATATGTCTTAAATAACCGAGCATATTCTAGCATTTTGATGTATATAGGTAGCTAAGTTCTCTATAAAATTTATAAAAATTCGACGCGATCGAATAATAAACTTTAATATCAAATCATATAAATCATATATTGCAGACAACCTTATTAAAACACAGTAAAGCGTATTTCAAAATGTGTTATTAGTAAAACTTACTTGCAATATCCCGCAAATGATAATCACACGGAATTGAAACCTTCCAAAACCATAGGCCTCTACAGCTTCTTCAATCGTATAGGTTTTATGTTGTTTTGGAATATGGGTTTGATAAATAATATCATCTGGAGTAATTATAAGTTGATTGTTACCTCTTTCGTCAAAATCAATTTTCCCAAACGTATCAAACATTAGAAATAAAATTGAGTAAATCTGATTAAATTAGCGATAAATATGACCTTGTGATTTAATAATGTGCGCTATTTATACAGGCAGAAAGTAAATCTATACACACATGATATTTTACCTGTATATTAAAACACAACTAACTGATTGATATAACTTAAAAAGGTTTTTTATATTACAATGCTATTTAAAACCTATGACTGACCTATAATATTTTCCCTATGGAAATGTGAAAAACCTTCTTCTAACCTTTTAGATATCAGGAGCAGTAACAATTATAACGAATGCATTTTTTATTGATTTGACCAGTTTCCTGAAAATAAATAGCTGACAAGGCACCGTTTTGCCTCACTCGTGGAATAGTTCGTCAATTATCGATTCGTGGTCAATTTATAATTAAATTTACTCAATCACCTAGCACTTACGTTTCCCGTAATAAACAAACGTTATTATCTTTACTAGAATATTGACCTTTTAAAGGGTTCCCTCTTAGATTTTATTTCACTTTACTCGCAAATGCACATAATCGTAATGAAGCCGACTATGCTGTCTAATTTGAACCTCAGCGCAGGCAATTCAACTTTGTAAAATACCTAATTCAACATCATAATTTATTCGTTGACCGAAATCTGACATTCGAGTCTATTTGAAACATTTGTTATTACCAACACTCTAAAATTTACTTCTTAATGTTAAAGAATTGTAACCCACTTATGTCCTCATAATATTGTGGCTCACCCTTCTAAAGCGAAGTTTGTTCAACAATTATTCATGCTCTTTATTTATATGCGTTTACAGGCTTATAGGAATTTGAAAAGAATTGTCCTTACTACGGACACCAGCATGAATTGGAAAATGAATCAATGAGTTTATAGTACTTTGAACCCACATTATATTCCATAATTAATTGCACTATCCTCGAGATATTTATCAGTTTACTCTCCTTGATTAATATATTAGGATAGTATGATGTATTCAAGGTCTTTTATGTATATATCGAGGCTTGAGGAAGGGGTTCAATTTATCGACCAGGACACATCAATTAACGTCCAATGCATGGGATATGGTAGGAACTTTATTTTGTTTCATAAAAGTTGAAGACATAAGATTAGGTGTCGGTTTAAACTTAATTTAAATATGATTACTAATTAATAAAGAAATAAATTCGTATTTAACGCTAATGGCAAATTTATGAATTCGATAATTTGACAATACTTCATTTTAAAAATTATAAAACTTCTACTTTTTGCTATTGTTAACTGATTAATCACAATGTGAAGGTTAATGAGAAGCTCAACGTGACCTTCGGTTATAATTTAATTCTTTGTTGCACAATTTTTCCTGTTATATTTTTTACCTTGTTTAACGAAGATTCTAGATTTAATCTTTTCATTCATTCCTTAGACACATATATACAAACTTTTTAATGCCGTTATACTTTTTAGACATTTTTAAATGACATTTTGGCTCCTATTAATAAAGTGTAAAGCATTTAATATTTTTGATTTTGCAGAAATTCTCATGAGCTTATCTCGCTGCATCGATCTCTCTAAAACAAGGGATTTCATACATGTTGGCAATGAAATAATTTACTTCACAGAGGCGGATAAGTCCTTTCGTATATTTCTTTACATTCCTAAGAAAGTGCAAGGATTCAGTTCAATTTTTCAAATTGCATTTTTGAAAGCATTAGCTCGACAATACAATTTTCCGAATATTCAGTTGCTTCTAACTTGGTTGAGAGATCAAACCTCCAATGGAAACTTTTTAGTGCAAGCAACCGACACAGAAAATGTCAGTCTTGTTTTTGGTACGAATCCGTCAATTCAGCTGACTTTTCAGCTATCTCAAACTCAAAGTGATGCTGACTTAATTTTATCGCTTTCTAAAGCACTTAATTCTAAGCAAGGTTATTTAGCTGAACTCGAGAATTCAAATGCTGCTGCACTTGGTAAATTAAAGTAAGTCATTAAGAACTCTTGTTATTTGTACTTTTCGTTTCATGATTCAATTTCGAATATGATTTTCTATTTAGCGCACAAGATGCACTCCCAGTTGTTCAAAACAAGAGAAAGAAGCTTGGTATGAGTTCCACAAATCCGCAAAGACGTCGAAGAAAACCTGCAACTGGACTTACATTCGTTTCAGACGACGATAATGATTAATTCTCTATCTACTTATAGTTTAATAAGTAGAGCAGGCTGTGTCATTTTCATTTATTCTTTTGTCATCTCAATTGTTTTTTCTTGTAAAAATGTTTTTGTATTAGTACATGTGCATTTTTCTATTTTAAAGAATCTTTAACGTTTCTAAGATGTCTCATTTGGATTTGGGTTAGACAATCGGTAAAAATTTTGGTAAAACCTTTTCTAAAGCTGATAGTAAGTTTTTTTGTAAAAGATTCGACCAATTTCGCCAATGACTATCTTTTAGAATGACAGATTTCAAAATTTATATTAGTGAATGTTTCTGATTAGCCCTTTTACGGTGAATGCGTGAATTATATTAGGGAATATGGTCGATGGTTTTAATAACTCCAATTATTAAATCTTAAAATAATTTGATGCCTGAGTACTCGCTAAATTCCAAATTCTACATATATTCTGAATATTCGAATTTTCTGAAACGAGAGGCATACTACTGAATCCGAATTCATCAGTTGTGGCCTTCTTGCTCATCGAGTTGCTCTACATACACATTGTGGGGGGAGAGACCTATCACCCAATCAGTAGTCATGGCATTACTAGAGTAGATAAAATAGTATTTTTTTGCCACACACGCCCCCTTTCCTCCCCATTTTCGAGGCAACTTAACTAAGTTCTTGAACCATTTCCTTCTAGATGATTTTGACATGGAGATAGCTGAGGTTCAGTCAAGGCTTATTTGTGTACCAGTCGCCTACAGGTTTAAACTAAGTTTCTCAATTCCCTCAAAATTGAGCCTACAAACGGCCTATAATTCTAGCTTATTTATAATTGCGTACCTTTTAAGCGATAAATCGTACAATGAATGGGCATTTGAAATTGCTACCTCAATTTTTGTTGGAATATGAGTAGTCATTTTGTTCAATGTTTCCTGGCTTATGCCTTCCATCATAATTTTCGAAAGCCACGTCTAACTAGAATCTTTTAGAAGATTGCCTGGAACGCTCCGAACAAAAATTTAGTTATTTGATGAGATGGATTACCAGATTTTCTTTTGTTTCCAAGCAGTGGAAGGCCAAACTGTCTTCAGCTTCGATAATTTCCTTGGGTACTGGTGTTCGAGATAGTTTAAATGGCGCACTCAAATCTTGTCATCGATATCCATTTTGTGCAACACGTTTACAGGATAAATTCTGACGGTACCTTCTGCCCACGTGTCTTTCAGCCAGTGATCAAGCGTAGCCTGTCATACAGGTTACAGGCGCATGAAATTTATCTAGGTCGGTTGAGTCCAATATGAATCGTTCATGGTTTTCGCTCCATAATAGTTTCGACAGGAATGAGGCAGATTAAAGTTGAATGTTATGCTGTTTGTTGCATTAAAAGAAACTCGTCGGGAATTTATATTTTTTTCCAAAGTGAATTTTGAAGGGAGTCAACTAAGCTCTAGGCTTGATCGTTTGACTACGAACGAGGTCATAGAAAATAGACGTAAGTAGCTACATGATTCCTGCAAAAATCTTTAAAAAGGGCCTTAGAGAATTGGTTGCTATTATTGATTACAATGAGCTTTGAAAGTTCATGGGTTGAAAATGTATACTCATGATTTTCTGCCAGCATGATAATTGTGGCCTTCAATGGAATGGTTTAGGACTACCTTGAATGCAATATGTCTCTTAAAATTCAACCTTATGTGGAAGCATGATACTGTAGCCATGGGCTGCGTTCTTTATGGGAGGGAAGCTAGGCCTCTTGTTAGATTTTAAAATATCTCTGCTCATTTCAAACCATTTAAAAAGGTTCTTACAATGGATTTCATTAAACAAACACCCAGATGACTGCTCTTGCACTGGAGTAATGTGATGAGTACCGAAGGCTTATCAGCCTGAAATAACCAATTACAGGTTACCACATCGTCTATTCGATTGTAGATCACTCTTTTGATTTAATTTTTATCCCCTACGAGGGAATCTATTTCATTACCTTTTTAGGCACTTACTATTTGCTGTTGCATTTTGTATGCAATTAACAGTTATTGAGTGTTTTCGTACAGCCTCAAAAATAGGCTTCCAGTAGTATTTTCACCCTTAGGATATCCATGGTTGTAGATGATAATTCGTCAGTTCACGTTCGGTTGTTTTCTGACATTGTATTTCGAAATTATTGGCCAAGGAGGATAGCCGCCGACACTGAAGTTGGCTTCCAGTATAAAAGTAACACTCATTTAGGTTCCAAAAATTAAGATAAGGAGATTTATAAACTTTTAATTGCAAAACGATCATCAAAATCACCTTTTCAATCTTGATATGGTACTTCTCAGCTGACTAAAGAGTTTGAAACCTTGTACAACATCTGTTAATGAGCTACCATGAAAGACATGTGACCTTTCCATTAGTTTTGAAAGACGAGGTCTTAGAGATAATCAAGGTTTCTTTTGAAGGTTACGAAACAAATTTTTTTCTATGAAGTTTGCAACGCTTGCAAAAACAGATATGTCCTCACTTAGCTCGTTTGCTTGTTTGTGGTATTTAAAGCGATACCTGAAGGGTAGAAGTTTTGGACGAAAAACTTTTGCTTGACCTGCACAGTTTTGGAACAATTAATTCAATCGGATTCCTAGGGTAGGAAAAACTTTGAGAAACGTTATATCATGGGGTACAAAGTGTACACATCTGTGTTAACTACACACAATTCAATTATTTGTCTGATTTTGGAACATAAATTTGTTAGGAACACAATTTTTTGCGACGTCTTCAGCAACTTCAGGATGAAAATTGAAAGACATGAGGAAAGGTTGTTAGATCTTCTAATTTGAAAGAGAAAAAGTTAACTTATTTAGGTAAATAGTTAAATTCCCTCAACAATTACGAATGATCTACTGTCGTGAGACTTGAGAAACTTCCAACTTCGGAATTGTCGAAACTGGAGAAGAATTTAGCTGCCATTTCTCACTACTTTCTATAAACGAATGGAATATGAAAACGGATTGGGCAAAAAACAAGTTTAGTTTATCTTCACGACAGTGTAAAAGTGTTGCTGCATCATAATAAAATGAACAAACATTTGAAATAAGTACTTCAAATTTTTATTCTGAATAAATCTATTCAATTATATTTACCGGGAAATTAACACAGAACGTAGTTATTAGATACTCTTTTGCCGACTCTGGCCCTGTAAAGACAGTTGATTATTGTTTGATCGAGAGGTCCCTGCAGTACTGACATCATCTACTTCATAACGTGATCAGCATCGCGACTGCACGTTCCACACAATTTGACTGTGTGTGAGAGTTGAGTGATTTGTAGTTGAAGAAGGAACCTAAATTTTCGAACTCCCTTGAGTCCCAAGAGTATTTACCCTCTTACTTTTTGTCAGTTTAAACCTTTGAACTTGAAAATTAATTTCAGATTTCGTCATGAAGTCAAGTCTTTCAATTTATTACCCCAGGAGTAATGGAAAGCAGTGTTCCCGAACACGGTACCTACGCATCATGACTTTTCTCCTGTTCCCAGAAATCGTTACCGCTTTGGATTGATAATTGCTAATTGAACTCATTAAGAGTGTTTTAATGGTCTTTTTAAAGCTCTTCTCAGGAGATAATTATCAAAGTCCACTTCCGCACTTCCTTTTGAAGAAAAATCTTCCACCCTATCGTATTCATCTGGTAAACAAGGAAATTTTATAACAGCGATTCTCTCGCTGCCAAATTTAGGCGCTTGGAGTCAATTGCGAATGGGGATTTTATTAAAGCTCTCCCACCCCAATGACATGCATATAATCAGTACTTGTCATTTATCCCTCGTAACAGCATGGAGCTATTTGAAAGTTCATAAATTTTTATATCCAATGGGCAAAATTTAATTTCAAAGTACTTACAATCATTTTCACCTTTGTCGTTGGCATAGGTAATGTAGCTAGTGTCACAAATTTTAACAGTTTAATTTAATGAGAGAGTTCATATGGAAGTAGGTTAAATAAGGACTTATCTTCGGGTGAAATTGGCACTCAGCAAAGTATTTCAAGTTAGAACAAGTTGGTTCGGGACACAGCAGTAACTGATCAAGCCAGGAGCGATTCATATATTAGTAAAAAGAGTAATTTTGGCCATTTTTATTATTGACACAGTGGAATAAAGGTTTTGTCAGCTAGCAAATTTCTGCATATGCGTTTTGGTCAGCTTGCCGACGATTTCACTTCCCAAAGGTACTTGCTAAGAGCCCATGCAAATGAAACGATTTTTAGCTTTTAGGTATCTTTTGGGATATTATATAGGCATTCTTATAAAATACATAAATCGCACCTACTATGAGACGTTCAAACGAATTATGAGTTTGAGAGACGTCTGATTTTCTATTTGTTTAATGCAGTGCAAATTTTTCTATTACACTCACTTTGCTGTCAGAACACGCTCACATGAAAAGATCAACGCTTTTACAACTGTTTGGCGCGTTTTACGCAGAAATATCTTCGACCAACGTTTATGTTTTACTTGATTTGGGGTGTGCGATGGACTTACCTCCACGTGGTGCACCCTGGGTAACGTATACTCATACGGCAAAAAATCTATTAACCGGCAGTCGACATCTGGCTTCTAACTACGATCACCCCACTGTATGTCATATTCGACTACTTCCACAGTATTCTTCCTACCTTTTTCTACCTTTGTGTCTCTCTTTTATATCTTTGAAACACTCTTCTGTTCCACTCTCACTCTCGAATTTTTCCCCTTTGATATTTCTTCTCCTCTGTGAGGCCTGAAATCACCTAAAGGGCTAATGAAACTATCAAAATGTCTGCCATTTGTTATAAATAAATATGTTTTACTTGATTTCCAACTACACGGACGTTGTATAAACCATTCAGAGTAAAAGCATGATTTCCTTTATACGAAACCACATGATTCAAAAATGCCAGAGGATAAACTAGTATGCTTAATACAAACTTATAGCCTATTTAAACGAGGAAAATGTTTAAAATTTCTAATATTATGGGAATTGGAGGCAAAAAACTTCCCGGTTACA